GGGGGGGCAGCTCACCCTTCCTGGCGGCCTCGGGGTCCTTCTTCTGGATGAGCAGGTAGCGGGGGCTCTCGGGGAAGAAGGGCAGGATCAGGAGCTGCAGCACCGCGGGGATCCCGGTCAGCGCCAGCAGGAAGGGCCAGCCTGCGAGCAAGGCGCTGTGTCACGTGGGCCTCCGGACCTGGCCAGCCCGGCGCCTGCCACCTGCCCGCTGTGTCCTTCTGCCCACCGCCAGCCATGGAGAGATGAAGACTGGATCTGTGTCAGTCCTGGGGCTTGAACTCAGGGACTAGATCCTGTCCCTGAGCCTGGTGCTCTACCACTCGCGCCACAGCTCTACTTCCAGCTTTCGGTGGAGCTGTCTGCCCTGGCAGGCCTCAAACCACGACCCTCAGGTCTGAGCCTCCTGAGGAGCTCGGATGGCAGGCGTGAGCCCCAGAGCCCAGGGGAGAGAGTCTGTGCTGGGCAGACTCTCAGTGGCTGCTCCTGCAAGCCTGAGGGCTGAAGGCTGTGGTGCCTCTACAGGCGGCAAAGTGGAAAGTGCAGCAAATCTAAGTGCTGGCGGGAACACAGGCCATGCGGATCATCTTACGGGTGTGTGGTGTCCTGTGGGTGCAAAGGCCCTGGGCACACTCCATCCACTGGCTTGCTCATTCACCCCTACTTTATGCTCAGAAGCTCGAGCCTAGGGCCCCATGACACCCGAGTGGTCAGAAAAGCACTGAGTACAGAATCAAAACCTGGCTCTGTGCTGGTGCTTCACCCCTGTAATCCTAACCACTCAGGAGGCTGAGATCTGGGGGTTGAGGTTCAAGGCGAACCCAGGCAGGAAAGTCTGTGAGAATTTTTTTAAAAAATCAGTCATGGGGCTTGAACTCAGGGCCTGGATGTTGTCCTTGAGCTCTTTTGCTCAAGGCTAGTGCTCTACCACTTTGAACCATATACTACAGCTCTACTTCCAGTTTTCTTGTGGTTAATGGGAAGTAAAAGTCCGTTCTGGCTAGGTGCTGGTGGCTCACACGTGTCATCCTAGCTACTCTAAAGGCTGAGATCTGAGGATCACAGTTCAAAGCCAGCCTGGGAGGGAAAGTCCATAAGATTCTTATCTCCAATTAACCACCAGAAAACTGCTGGTGGGGCTGTGGCTCAAGTGGTAGAGCAATCTCTTGAGTTGAAAAGCTAAGGGACAGCTCCTGGGCCCAGAGTTCAAGCCCCACAACCAAAAAAAAAAAAAAAAAGAAGAAGAAGAAAAAGAAAAAGAAAGTCTATCCTGGGTTGGCTTTGAACTGTGCTCCTCAGATCTCAGCCTCCTGAGTAGCTAGAATGACAGGCACAAGCCATCAGCACCCAGTGAGATTCTTATCTCCAAGTAACTACCAGAAAACTGGAAGTGAAGCTGTGGTTCAAAGTGGTAAAGCACTAACTCAGAGCACAAAAGCTCAGGAACAACACCCAGGCCCTAGGATTGGGTGTCAGTATGGGCACAGATAAAGGACACATTTGGCTGTGGCCACCCAGTGATGACAATGAAGCTACCTATGGCCTGGCTGTATCTCCTAGGCAGGACATAACAAGCTACACAAAGTGACATCCTTGAGTCAAGTTCAGACTCGGGGGACATTAACCTGGTCACCACCAAAGTAGTGAGGCTGGAGGCAAAGCAAGGAAAAGGCAGCTATAGCTGGCCTGTAGCTCATAGTTCATATCTGTCATCCTAGCTACCCCAGAGGCTGAGATCTGAGGATTGAGGTTCCAAGCCAGCCCAGGCAGGAAAACCTGTGAGATTCTTATCTTCACTTAACCACCGAAAAAGTCAGAAGTGGAGCTATGGTTCAAACAGTAGAGTGCCAACCTTGAGCAAAAAAAAAAGACTAAAACAAACAAGTAAATAAATGGGCAGGGGAAGGGCATGATTGGGCACATAGAAGTGCTGGAGGGACCAAGGGGACTGTATGTGGACCTGGCAAATGATCATGAAGGTGTTTGTTTTCTAGCTGATTTCTCTTGGTCTTTCCTTTCGTTTGTTGTGAATCATATCACCATGTGGGAAATACTTGGACTCCATAAGCCAGTACTGGGGCTCCTATCTGTGTGGTGGCGCCCCAGCCCACCTGCCTTGGCTCCAGGGCTCGCAGCCTCGACACTCTTGGACAAGGAATTGCCTGGGGTGCTGTCACCAAGCTTACTTCCTTCCATAGTGTTCGGTGGGCGAGGTACCAGGACCACCCATTCCACAGGGGAGGTCTGCTGCAGGGTCATTGGGGCCTTGGGAGCAAGGCTGAGGCGGGAGGAAGCGGCAACCCTCTAGCACGAGGCTGACAGACACATCTAACTTAAGGCTGTAAGCTCCTGACAACCCATGACTCCTGGATTCTGCGTGTGTGTGTGTGTGTGTGTGTGTGTGTGTGCGCGCGCGCGCATGTGCACCAGCACTGAGGCTTGAGCTCAGGGCCTGGGCACTGTCCCTTAGCTTTTTCACTCAGGCCTGGTGCTCTAGCACTCAAGCCATAGCTCCACGTCCAGCTTTTTGGTGGTTAATTGGAGTAAGAGCCTCGCAGGCTCTCCTGCCCAGGCTGTCTTCAGATCCCGATCCACAAGTGTCAGCTCCTGAGTTGCCCCAGTGTCTAGCGGCTTTCTTTCTGGTGTGTGGAGTGGGCTGGTCACCGAGCCTTGGTCACAGTGCTGCGGCAAGGCCGGGGACAGGGCCCAGGAACCCTGAGCACAGCCCCTGGCACGTTGGTGGCTGTCCCTGCAGCGTGCCGGCCTCTGTGTGGACAGACGCGGCGCGGGCCCTTCCCTTCTCCAGCTGCTCGCCATTTCCTAAGGGAACCTGTCACTGGAGCTCACTCTTGGGCCCTGCAGCCTGGGGCCCCACTGGGGTCTGGGCTGCTGCCCCACGGACAGAAGCACCTTAGTGTCCTGGCCTGAGGAATGGGGTGGGGTGAGAGGCGGGGGAGCTGGGACTCACCAGTCTCATTTGCTAGAACATTCCGAAGGCCGAACAGCTGAGCCACAAGGATGCCGACAGTGATGAAGAGCTGGGGCACTACTCCAAGGGCCCCCCTCAGGTTTTTGGGGGCCAGCTCCCCTAAGTACATAGGGACCACGTTGGAAGAGACACCTGGGGAAGGGGGTGGGATGAAAACACAGTTAGGAAAAGGCATCCTGGCAGTGGGGCGCTGCTGGCTCACGCCTGCCAGCCTAGCTATTCAGAAGCTGAGATCTGAGGATCTCGGTTCAAAGCCAGCCTGGGCAAGGAAAATCCATGAGACTCTTTTTTTTTTAATTTGAAAATTTTAATTTATTGAGTGTTTAATGTGTCGTGAGACTTTTATCTTCAATTAAGCACCAGAAAACTAGAAGTAGTGCTGTGGCTCAAGTGGTAGAGTGCTCACCTTGAGCTGAAGAACTCAGGGACAACGCCCAGGCCCAGAGTTCAAGGCCCACGACCAACAAAAACCTCCAAAACATAAAGAACATCCTGGCACAGTTGAGCTGTGGCTTCAAAGGAAAGCTATTCTCTTCTGGGCCAGCATTTCTTCAGAATAGAAACAAGGAATATAAATGCTGCTTTTTATTCTCAGTCCCTCACACTTTAAAGAAAGAGAAGTCAAGCCAGGTACTGGTGGCTCAGGCCTGTCATCCTTGCTACTCAGGAGGCTGAGATCTGTGGATAGTGATTCAAAGGCAGCCCAAGCAGGAAACTCTTATCTCCTATTACATCATCAGAAAGCTGGAAGTGGATCCATGGCTTGAGTGGTAGAGCTTAGCAAGTGTGTGAGATCCTGAGTTCAAGTCCCAGTACAAACACACACACACACACACACACACACACACAGACACACACACACACACACACAGCATTGTAGAAACAAAAAAGGCATTGCAGTATGGTCTTCCTTGAAGGATTATATATCTTTCAAGAACCTTTTGAGCCCTGATCATATAAAATAATATTTATTGAAATGAACTCCAGGAAATGGAACCATTTTTTTCTTTTTCTTTTTGTCTATTTTGTTTATGTATCTTTGGACAGCACCCAGGCCTAGAGTTCAAGCCCCACAACCGGCAAAAAAAAAAAAAAAGAAGAAGAAAGAAAAGAAAAGAAAGGAAAAGAGAAGAAAAGACAAGAAAATGAGCCAGGCGTTGGTGGCTCACACCTGTAATCCTAGCTATTCAGGAGGCTCACATCTGAGGATTGAAGTTCAAAGCTAGCTCAGGCAGAGAAGTCCCTGAGACTAACTTCAATAAACCACCAGAAAACCGGAAGGTGCGCTGTGGCTCAAGTGGTAGAGCACTCGCCTTATGCTGAAGAGCTGAGGGACAGAGCCCAGGCCCAGAGTTCAAGCCCCACAACTGACAAAAAAAAGAAAGAAAGAAAGGAAAGAAAAAGAAAATGAGGTATACAACTTGTGGGTGGAGATGCGAGGGAAAGACTGGGAGAGAGCAAGGGAAAGGGTGACATTGTCCAAAAAGAAATGTACTCTCTGACTCAGGTAACTGCAATCCCTCTGTACATCGCCTTTATAATAACAATAGAAAAGAGATAACCTATTTAGGGTCGGCTTGGGTGTTGAAGCTTCAGAGCCCCTGGGCTGGTTTAGAGCCCGGTAGGTGAGCCTCCCTTCACCTTGATGTCCAGAATGGTAGAAGGGCCGGACGGCCACAGTGCGCACCTGCACAGATTCCCACCAGGAGTCTGGAGAAGATGATGAGCTCGTACAGCTTGGCGACTTTACTGCAGCCCATCAATATCGCGGGCACCACGGAGAAGATGTTGTTGAGCAATAACCCGCCTTTTCTGTAGAGGAACAAAATGGTGGTTAGCGTGGCTTCAGGATTCCCTCATTCATCCTCGGTTGATGGTTTATTCAATTTGATTATTTTTTTTTTTTTGTGCCAGTCCTGGGGCTGCACTCAGCCATATATGCTTGCTTGGCTCTTTTGCTCCAGGCTGGTGCTCTACCACTTGAGCCTCACCTCTATTTCTGGCTTTTTGTATTTTATTTTATTTTTTGCCAGTTCTGGGGCTTGAATTGAGGGCCTGGGAACTGTCCCTGAGCCTCTTTTGCTCAAGGCTAGCACTCTACTACTTAAGCCACTGTGCCTCTTGCAGCTTTTTCTGAGAACTTTATTGAAGCTAAAAGTCTCATGGCCTTTCCTGAGTGGGCTGGCTTTGAATGGCAATCCTCAGATCTTAGCCTCCTGAGCCACTGGTGCCTGGCTATTTCTGGCTTTTTGATGCTTACTTAATTAGAGATATGAGTCTTACAGACTTTCCTGCCCAAGCTGGCTTTGAACGGAGATCCTCAGATCTCAGACTCCAGAGTAGCTAGGATTATCAGACATGAGCCATCAATGAGTAGCTCTGGTCTGGTCTTTCGTATAACCACAGTGAAAACACCCAAACAAACACTACAATGATTATTAGCCTCATCTCATAGTAAGGATTCTAGTTTTAGCCTATGCTTAAGAACGGATGCTGACGGTCTATGAATTTCAGGGAATTAAAAATTCCCCGTCCAGCGGGCGCTGGTGGCTCCTGCCTGTAATCCTAACGACTCTAGAGGCTGAGATCTGAGGACTGTAGTTCAAAGCCATCTTGGGCAGAGAAATCAGAGATTCTCTCACCAGTGAAGTAGTGGATTGTTTGCTGGCAAACAATCCAAGGCCCTGTGGTCAAATCCTAGTACTGAGAGGAAAAGCCAAGCCCCTCCCCTTACCTGCCGAATTGATTCACCAGAGGACCGGCCAAGATGGCCCCGATGAAGCCGCCGAAGGGGAACATAGACACGGTGAGCGACCACAGGAGAGTCAAGGGGAATTCGTCAATGAGCTCCCCTGTCTTCTCATTGTAGGTGTCGTTGTAAAACTGCTTCATGATCTGGGGGACAGAGGGCACAGACACAAGGATCGCTCATCTGCCTTTGCAGAAAGCCCAGCTCAAGCTGTCAGGCCCGGGGCCTGTGCCAGGCCCACAGCCCTCCAGACCAGCTAGTTGCTCTGCTACCCAGGGGGAAGGAAGGCTAGCTGCCGGGGACCTGGGGCTTGAACTCTTTTGCTGAAGGCTAGGGAGCTCTTCCATTTGAGCCACAGCTCCTCTTCCGGCTTTTTGGTGGTTCCTTGGAGATGAAGAGTCTCATAGACTTTCCTGTTCAGGCTGGTTTTGAACCAAGATCCTCTGATCTCAGCCTCCTGAGTAGCTAGGATTACGGGGGTGGAGGGGTGGCATTTCTGCCCTGGCTTAGCCTGGTCCACGGAGGCCCAGTAGGGCCAGTTTCTGCATGCCTTGATGGGGGAAGCTGGGGATGGGTTTGGCCTGGCCCTGTGGCCAGGCTGGTTGGGAGGGTGTCTCCCCCTCCCTGCAGGGCCTTCGTGGGGTGCCCTCCTGGGCCCCGGCTGCTTCCATTCAGGAACAGAGGCCTGCTCTGCGCAGTGACTTACCTCTGATGGTGAGTTCACGGCAGCCACGTTGTACCCATACTGGAAGGAGGAGCCAAAGGCTGATATCAGGGTGGCGATGGCCAACACAAGGGTGAGCCTCTGCGAGAGAAATGGGGTGAGGGTCAGGGACCGCGGGGGGGTGTTATGGGCCCCAAAGGAACAAGGAGAGGTGTCTCCAACCTCCTCTCCTCCCTTCCAAGGTAGAGAAAGGGGGGGCTGCATTGGCATTGCTTGTTCCTTTTCAGATGAGGTATCCCCGGCTGGGGCTGAGGTCCAGGGCTCGTGCGATGGATCCTCCTCCCTCAGCCTCCTGAGAATGTGGGTGCAGTGGCATGCGGCTCACTGTGGCGCTGGCCGGGGTTGACGTGGGGAAAGCCACACCTACGTGACCTGTGGATGGCTTCTGTCGCTTTCTCCCCGTGGGCTGCACTTGCAGCCACACCATGCGCCGAGCCTTGTCTTCTCTTCCTCCCGTCCCCCCTCCAAGTCCAAAGCGAGAAATATGAAGCTAAATTTGCCTGGACTTTGGCTCTCACAGGCAGAAGCCAAAGTGGAAAGGTTTAAGTGGATCTGTGGGGATTTCCACTCAGGACACACTGCCCACAGTGTCTCCTGTGAGCCAGGGAGGAACTGGGGGCGGAGCTTAGGTTAAGGAGGGGCTTGTAGCCAGCCACTGGTGGCTCAGGCCTTGTCATCCCAGCTACTCAGGAGGCTGAGATCTGAGGATCGTGGTTCCAAGCCAGCCTGGGCAGGAAAGTTTGAGAGTCTTATTTCTGAAGAATCACGGGAATGCCAGAAGTGGAGCTGTGGCTCCATGAGTGCAAGCCCCTGTATAGACAGACACACAGACACACACAGACACACACACACACACACACACAAATCCTCTACTTCTCTTCCCAGATTAACTACAACAGCTGGAGGCTTGATTCACCCGCACGTGCAGCTCCTCCCCGCAGCGGCTGGACCAGGGCTGAGTCTAAAGTCCTTCTGGTGGGAAGGAGGTTCTGAGCACCCCAGGGCTCAGCCCGCAGTGCGGGGCTCTGCCAGGCTCGGCAGATTCCCCGCTTCCAGCCAAAGACCCCAGACTACAGTCGTGATGCACAGAGTCCGTGAAATCACCGTCCATGCAGGGAGGGAGACACAATAGGTTGTTAGTTAACGCATGAGGGAATTAAGAACCATGAAGGAAAGGCACAGGGCACTGGGGAGTGACACTGGAGCTGGGCTCCAGTGGCGAGGCAGCCAAGCGAGGAGAGAGGATGCCCCAGACAGAAGGAGGCCACAGGCAGAGGCCGTGGGGCAAGGAAGCAGCTCCAAATCTTGCCTTTGGAATAGGATTCAAGTAGCTGGATTTTAGAAAGGAAGACAAGTTAGGGCCAGGGCCACAGGACAAGTGGGACTTTCATTGCTTGGGCTTTACACTGTAGGACAGTAGGAGAAAGGACTCCAAAAAAAAAAAAAGGAAAAAGAAAATGAATGCCAGACGCCAGTGGCTCATGCCCGAAATCCTAGCTACTCAGGAGGCTGAGATCTGAGGATGGCAGTTCAAAGCCAGCCCTGGCAGGAAAGTCCGTGAGACTCATATCTCCAATTAACTACCAGAACATGGGAAGTGGCGCTGTGGCTCAAGTTGTAGAGTGCTCGCCTTGAGGGCCAGTGCCCAGGCCCAGAGTTCAATCACCAGGACAAACAAAATTACATACATACATATACAAATACATAAATAAATATATGAAATAAATAAATGAAATAAATAAAATAAAATGATAGGCCCCTGCCCAGGGCAGCCGGCAGCAGATGGGGGCTGGATAGGGGGTGAGGGCTGCTGGATAGGGGGTGAGGGCTGTTGCAGAAGCAAGGAGGGTGAACCTTGGGAACTCTGCAGGAAGGAGAAGTCACCATGACACACCCACGGAATGGTGAGACCCAAGAAGCCAGGCATGTTGTGCTGGCAGGGACGTGGAGGAGACTAGAGTGCTCCTCCGTGGCCGGAGGAAACGCCACATGGGAGAAGTCTGGTACTAAGTGTACGACCCAGAACCTCTGCTCGTAGGTTTAAAAATCAAGAGAAGTGAAACCCAGCCACTGCGCTGGGTGGCTCCCGCCTGTAATTCCAGCTGCTCTGGAGGCTGAGATCTGAGGATCATGATTCAAAGCCAGCCAGGGGAGGAAAGTCTTATCTCCAGTTAACCATCAAAAATCCAGAAGTGGAGATGTGGCTCAAGTGGTAAAGTACCAGCTTTAATCAAAATGCTAAGGAATTGAAGCTCTAGTACTGGCATAAAAAAAATTAAACAAAACAAAAGAGACATGAGAGACAAAATCTCAAGCCAACTTCTCAGAGAACTGTCTACCCATTTGTTTTACTATAGAAAATATATGTTTTTTGTCTTTTATTTTATTTGGCAGTCCTGGGCCTTGAACTCAGGGCCTGGGCACTGTCCCTGAGCTGCTTTTGCTCAAGGCTAGCACTCTACCACTTGAGCCCCAGAGCCACTTCTGTTTTTTTTCTGTTTCTCTGGTGTTGAGGAATCGAATCTAGGACCTCATGCATGCGAGGCAAACACTCTACCACTGAGCCACCTTGCCAGGCCTCTTTATTTTTTTGTCGTGGGACCAAACCCAGGACTTCGCCCTCGTGAGGGAAGCGCTTGCTGCAGAGCCACAGCCCTGCCCAGGGACGTAGGTTTATCAAGCGAGGCTTTGATAGCCGTGCACATGTGAAGCAGTGACCACACGGAGGCAGAGACCTTTAAGATCCGCCTCAGCAGATTTGCAGCAGGCTGTGGGTTAACAACGGTTCCCAGGAAGCAAGCTCCCAGAGCCTCCTCTTCGTCCTGCAGAAACCACACTTTGTACCCATCTGGTACCAGCTCGCCCTTTAGCCCTTGCTGCCGCCCTTGGCAACCATGGTGCACATTGCTCTGGAGCGTGTCAGATTTCACTCATTCCGCAGGGGGGCGGTTGGATTTTATGCATTCTCTGTGGGGGGGAGGTGGGCAGGAGATATGGCAGCAGGCCAGGCCATTTAGCATCCTGTGTTCCATGTCAAGCCAAGTTGCAAACTGCAGAGTAGATTTTCCTTCTTTTTAAAATAGTGATAAGTCCCAGGCTAGTGGCTCACACCTGTAATCTTAGCTACTCAGGAAGCTGAGATTGGAGGGTCAAAGGTCAAAGCCAGCCTGGGCAGGACAGTCTGTGAGTCTCTTTTCTTTTCTTTTTCTTGAGGGGGTTGTCAATATGAGGCTTGAACTCAGGACCTGGACGCTGTCCCTGGGCTTTTTGCTCAAGGCTAGTACTCTACCACTTGAGCCACAGCGCCACTTCTGGTTTTCTGGTGGATGCCTGGGCTGACTTCAAACCACGATCCTCAGATCTCAGCCTCCTGAGTAGCTAGGGTGACGACAGGCGTGAGCCACAGGTCTATGGGACTCTTTATCTCCACTAAACCATCTAAAAGCTGGAAACGGAGCTGTGGCTAATGGTAGAGTGTGAGCCTTGAGCAAAAACAGCTCAGGGACAGCGCCCAGCCCTGAGTTCAATCCTCAGTGCCAGCACACACACACACACACACACACACACACACACACACACACACACACGATCAGTGAAATAGTGACAAATCTTGTACTCTGAATCCTGTCGCAGGTGAATTTCGCCCTCTGTCAAGGTGGTTAATTTGAAAGCCAGAGGTATTGCATTCCTTTTTCTCCCCTCTCCCTCCCAGTGCAGAAGGAGGAAGAAAAGGGTTGGAGGCTGGGGTTTAGCTCTGCCGGAGGGCGCATGCCCAGTGCAGGGAAGGCCTCGACTTCTACCCTTAATGCTGTGGAAAAAAAAAAAAAAAGTTGTGGCCCTGGGCTGGGTCAGGGCTCTGGGCTGAAGTCAACCTGCCGCTGCTGGTTACAAGGCAGCCCCAGGAGCCTGCCACAGGGAGAAGCCAGGCCTCCAGGACCAGCACCACACAGCCACCAAGGCGCCAAGAGCTGGACCCCATGCTGCCAGGAGAGGGCGCGCTACAGCAGGCCTGGCCAGCCTGGGGTCCCTTCCAAAAGAATGGGAGGGGGTGGGGGAGCTGTGATCACCCCTGCCTTTGGCGTGAGGCTGTCTGAATCATTTCCGTTCACAGTCTTGATCTTTTTTTAGGGTGCCCTGTGTTGCTGGGCACTTCCATTGCTCACCCCCTCCTCCATATGTCTGTCTGTCTCTTTCTCTCTAACTAGAACCCAGCCTCACATTCCTGCTTAGCTTTGCTACTCAAGGCCGTGGGCTGTACCACTTGAGCCATTCCTCTGCTCCCATACACTTCTCTCTCTTCTTTTCTTGCTAGTCCTGGGGCTTGAACTCAGGGCCCCAGCACTGACTTGAGTTTCTTTTCCTCATGGCTAGCCCTCCACCATTGAGCCACAGCACCACTTCTGGCTTTTTCCATGTATGTGGTGCTGAGGCATCGAACCCAGGGCTTCATGTATGAAGGCAAGCGCGCTACCGCTGAGCCGCCTTCCCAGCCCCCACCCCCATGCACTTCTCTTTGAACAGCAGGCCGGAAGCTGCCTAGGACCTCCCTTCACTCCCCCCCCCCATTCTTTTCCCATCAGACGTGCTAACACTTGATTTGCACAGCACTTCCTTTTTATGTCACTTTTATTTGTGGCAGTAGTAGAGTCTGAACTCTGGGCCACAAGCTTGGTAGCTGGGCAGGTGCTCTTCCACCTGAGCCACGACTCCTGCCCTGCCCAAGGCTTTCCAGATAGCTGCAGAGAAGGCGGGGGGCACGGGGAGGGGTGGTACACACACAAAGCAGAGATTCCCAAAGAGGACAGGGCGGGCCGGCTCTGCCTGCTGGGACATGGGCTCCACATGTGGAGAGGGTGCTCCAGCATCTGGGGGTAAAGGCCCGAGGGGCCCTAAAGTACCCTCCGATGCCAGCCAGTCCCTGTGGCACAGAATTACCCAGCAGCAAACCTCAGTGGTGCCCTGGTCCCCGCACACTTTTGCAGGTAAGTGTTCAGCACCCACAGCAATCTTTCCTGCATTACAGGCAAGACAGGAGTTAAATAATGAAGTGAGCCCTCCCCCCCCCCCCCCCCGTCCCACACCTGGGAGGCAGCAGGGACTCTGGCACGAGGGTCTGTCTCTGTATGCAAGCATCTCACAGTCACGCCTGAATAGCCAAGACTATGCCTGCCACTCGGGACCCTCGCCACACACTAGCAAGTGCTACTGGCAGGAATAGAGTGCGGTGGCTCACGCCTGTAATCTCAGCTACTCAGGAGGCTGAGATGGGGAAGATCAGAGACCAGCCAGCCAGTCCAGCACTGTGACCCCAGCTAACGGGACAGGCTGTGAGCAGAAAGACCATGCTAAAGAGAGGCCAGGTGAGAGACATGAGACTCTGCTTTAGATAGTACCAGGGGGAGGAGGAGGAAGAGGGGGAGGAGGAAGAAAAGGAGGAGGAGGAAGAAAGAATGAAAGTGCCTGCCTAGCAAACTCTGGGTTCTGAATTCAAAACTGTTGTGCCATTACAAAGAAAAAAAGCTCAAATTCCTAAAAAGTGTGAAGAAATACAGGTTATCTTCCTGTCTGCATTTCTGTTGTCTTTGGTCAAGGGACTCTGTAGTTCCACTGAATTTAGATTGAGGGGTACGTGTTCATAAAAATCTTTTTTGGGGGGGATGGCTGGGAAGCTGTTTCAGTGGTAGAGTGCTTGCCTCCCATGCATGAGGCCCTCGGTTCGATTCCTCAGCACCACATAATCAGAGAAAGCCAGAAGTGGTCCTGTGACTCAAGTGGTAGAGCGCTTGCCTTGCATGCCTGAGGCCCTGGCTTCAATCCTCAGCACCACATAAGCAAAATAAGAAAAAAGCCAGAAGTGGCGCTGTGGCTCAAGTTATAGAGCTCTAGCATTGAGCTGAAGAGCTGAGGAACAGCGCCCAGGCCCAGGGTTCAAGTCCTACAGCCGACCAAAAAAACCCAAAACCCAAAACCCAAAAAACTACCCAACATCAGTGCCAGCTTGTGTCTCTTCATGAAACAAAGTGAAGGAACCATTTACAATATCTCACTGTCTGCCTGGAAGAGTTTTTTTATTTTGTCTTTTCTTTTTTGGTACTGGGGATCGAACCCAGGACGTTGCGCTTGCTAGGCAAGTGCTTTGCCACTGAGCTACATCCCAGCCCAGAAGAGTTTTTTAAGAAACACATTTGCTTGGGGAATCTCTTCCTTTCCAAATCTTTTTTGTCAGTCATGGGGCTTGAACTCTGGGTCTCAGCTCTTCAGCTCAAGGCGAGTGCTCTACCACTTGAGCCACAGCACTACTTCTGGTTTTCTGATGGTTCATTGGTGAGAAGAATCTCACAGACTTTCCTGGCCTGGCTGGCTTTGAACCGCCATCCTCAGATCTCAGCCTCCTCAGTAGCTAGGATTATAGGCATGAGCCACCAGAGCCTGACTCCTCTCCAAATCTTACTGGTAAGAAACAGGCCAAAGCAAAAGAGAGGGAGGGAGAAGGGAAAGGAAGGAAGGGAATGGGGCTGAGGTTTCTCTTCGGGTCCTTCTCCACAGCTTTGCCAATAGAATGAGTCTGAGGTAAGATGACACAAACCTATCCATGCCCTGGGAAGGCTGAGCCTGTGGCGGGGGGGGGGGGGCGGGCCGAGGGTCAGCTGGGCCTCCCAGCTGCTCTGGCTGGCGGCCTGGGCCGCACACTCACCCCCTTCCTCAGCTCTGGCTGCTCCATCCTCGCCTGCGCTGGCTGCTCTCTTCGCCTCCTCGAGGGACGCACACTCAAAGGCACTGTCTGGAAAGGAAGGCAGCGGCTGCACTTTGGACCGGCCAGCTCCTAGCCAATGGCATTTTTACAGCCAGTCTTGGTCAGAATAACCCTTTCGGGCACCCGGGCCGGCCTTCCTTTCACTTCTGCTTTTACATGAAAATGTCTGGGGTCTGGCTAGGATCGCGTGGTCTACAGTACTTCCCTACCTCACTTGTCCCCAGTCTCTGCACATCTGCCAGGAACACACGGAAAGCAACCGTGGCCCTCACCCTACACCAACCCCAGGAAAGGGGGCAGCAGTCTCTCCAGTGGGGAGATTTTGCTCAGCAAACCATGCAAACAGTAACCATGCAACACGTGTGTGTGTGTGTGTGTGTGTGTGTGTGTGTGTGTGTGTGTATCAGTCCTGGGGTTTGAACTCAGGACCTGGGTGTGTCCCTGAGTTTGTTTTGCTCAAGGCTAGTGCTCTACCACCTGAGCCACAGCACAACTCTGGCTTTTTACTGGTTTATTGGAAACAAGAATCTCACAGACTTTCCTGCCTAGGTTGGCTGTGAACCACAATCCTCAGAACTCAGCTAGGATTGTAGATGTGATCCTAAAGCCACCAGAGCTTGTCTTTTTGTGTTAGTATGGGTCGTATGAACTCAGGAACTCCTGGTTAACTGGAGATCACAGTCGCTCTGAATTTTTTGGCTGGCTTTGAACCACGATCCTCAGACCTCAGCCTCCTGAGTAGCTTGGATTACAGGTGGGAGCCACCAGTGCCCAGCTCTATACTTTGGTGGTTGTTGTTGTTTATCGCTGCTTTATTTTTCTTTTTTTGTGCTGGGGATGGAACCATGGATCTCAGAGATACCAAGGGTTCTCCACCTCTGAGCAATACCCCGCTCCCCTGCTCCATGAAGCACTCTCTGGAGAGGAAAAAGTTTCTTACTTTCCCAAGGGCCGAGACACAGTTTTCTGGGTGCTGGTCATCATGGGAGGGAATGACTTTGAATCCCTGCTTTTGTTAGCACAACAGGGAAACTGAGTCACAGGTGCTGGTCTGGGACTACCCAGTCATAGCCACAGCCCCTGGCCACCTTGTGCTCCTCGTGTGTCCAGCAGCCAAAATCCAGAGCAAAGTCCCCCAGGCCGGCGGTGTGTCCTTCTGTAAGGACAGGCTCCCAGGTGACTGGTGGTGGCACAAATCCAGTTTATTCAGTCCTACCTTCTCGTTCGTCCCTGATGGCCATGGGCACCCTCTGTGTGGGATACTGAGCCCTCTGTGTGAGGTACTGTGTGTGAGGTACTGTGTGTGAGGTACTGTGTGTGAGGTACTGTGGGGGGGTACTGAGCGTTGTGTGTGGTGTACTGTGTGTAGGGTACTGCTCCTGACATCCACACCAGAGTTCTGTGTGGCGTGGTGTGGTGTGTGTGGTGTGTGTTTGGTATTATGTGGTGTGTATGTGTGTGGTGTGTATGTATGTGTGGTGTGTGTGTCTGGTGTGTGTGCTGTATGTGTGGTCTGTGTGTTTGTGATGTGGTATGTGTGTGTGGTATGTGTGTGTGGTGTGTGTATGTGGTGTGTGTGTGTGGTATTTGTGGTGTGTGTGTGGTGTGTGTATGTGGTGTGTATGTATGTGGTGTGGTGTGTATGGTGTGTGTGGTACGTGTGGTGTGTACATGTTGTATGTATGTGGCATGTGTGGTGTGTGTGGTGTGTGTGGTGTTGTGTGTGGTGTGTGTGTGGTGTGTGTATTTGTGTGGTGTGTGGTGTGTGTGGTATGTATGTGGTGTGTGTGGTGTGTGTGTAGTATATGTGGTGTGTGTGTGGTATGTGTGTGTGGTGTGTGTGGTGTTTGTGTGTAGTATGTGTGTGTAGTATATGGTATGTATGTGGTGTGTGGGGCGTGCGGTATGTGTGTGTGGTATGTATGTGGTGCGTGTGTAGTGTGTGTGTAGTATATGTGGTGTATGTGTGTGGTGTGTAGTATATGTGGTGTCTGTGTGGTGTGTGTGGTGTGTGGTATGTCTGTGTGGTGTGTGGTATGTATGTGGTGCGTGTGTGGTATGTGTGTGTGGTATGTATGTGGCAAGTGTGGTGTGCAGTATGTGTGTGTGGTATGTGTGGTATGTATGTGGTGTGTGTGTGATATGTGGTATGTGTGTGCTGTGTGGGGTGTGTGGGGTGTGTGTGTGGTATGTATGTGGTATTGTGTGGTGTGTATATGGTATGTATGTGGTGTGTGGTGTGTGTTTGTGGTGTGGTATGTATGTGGTGTGTGGTGTGTGGTGTATGTGCTGTGTGGTATATGTGTGTGTGTGCTGTGTGTGTGGTGTGTGTATGGTATATGTGGTGTGTGTGTGGTATGTATGTGGTGTGTGGTGTGTGTGTGGTGTGTGTGTTTGTGGTATGGTATGTATGTGGTGTGTGTTTGTGTGTGTGGTGTGTATGTGTGTCCATTGCAATGGAGACCTGAGTGTTTATTACTTCACGAGTCTTTGCTTTTTTTTGTCACAAGCCTACACTCCGAGGTGAGGAGACTGCGTCTCCAGTATAAGAGAATTTGAAAATCCTCCCCAAAGAGCTGTGTGTCAAGTGGCAGAGCACCAGCCATGAGCTACAAAGCTCAGGCAGAGGCCTCACCCATGCTCACACCCCACTTCTGGCACAGGCACACACAAATCACCACTTCACACCTCCCCCTTCACACTTCACATGCATGTTATGGTTGCATAATCATGCAGGCAAGAAAAGTGAAAAACCCTCCAAAGAAAATGTTAGTGTCAGGGGAGGGGCTGCCCGATGGGGAAGGAGGGGAAGGGGGAAAGGGGGGAAGAGGGGAAAAGGGAAGGAGGGGACGGGGGAAGGGGGAAAGGGGGGAATACATGTTATGCAGAGAAGTGGCAAGGGCTGGCACAGTGGCTCTTGCCTATCATTCTGGCCATTCAGGAGGTGGAGATCAGGAAGATCACAGTTCTAGGTGTGTAGGCAGGAGTTAACAACACCCCATCTCAACCAACAGGCTTGGCCTAGTGCTGAGTGCATCTCATACTGGTTGAGGAGTGTGGAGATAGGAGGAATCCCAGGTCAGCCAGGGCAAAAGGCCAGAGCCTTCCAAATAGAAAGAACAAAAGAAAAAGAAAGAAGGAAAGGAAGGAAGGAAGGGAGGAAGGGAGGAAGGAAGGGAGGAAGGAAGGAGAGAGAAAGAAAGAAAGAAAGAAAAAGAAAGAAAGGGAAGGAAGGAAGGAAGGGAAGGAAAGGAAGGAGGGAGGAAGGAAGGAAGGAAGGAAGGAAGGAGGG